CCCCAAAACCCCAAAACCCCATCAATTAAAAGTAGCTAGAATATAATTTAGAAATCTTTTATAACAAATAAAAATATCAAATACTAAATATAGAAGGAAAACTTATTCCTCGCAACCAAATATTAATAAATAAAGGTAAAATTCATAACTGTTTCATCCAACTCAAATATTGACAATTTGGTAAGCCTTGCGATGCCTGTCCATAACTGGATTTGGAGTTGACATTTTCTTGTAGGTCTCTTATAACCTACTAATACTAACATCGAGTCTATCAATAGCAGATGGTCTTCTTATCTCATAGACTTAAGAACTATACCTATGATGAACAGACTTAAGAGCATTTAGCTCTATTGACTTGTCAACATCATAAGTGCTTGGATCAGCTGGAGAATTGTGTTAATGAGTCAGTCGAGATCTAACTTCATTTTTAGTATTTCTCAGAAAGTCAAAGTACTGCCAGTGCTTGTTAAGTTTTTCATCTATCAGACTTGATCTCTCAGCTTTCTAACACATTATTTAGTCTAGTAATTTTTTAGGAAGTTTTTTCCTCAATCTTGTTCTATCCTCGCTACTTGTCATTGCTCTTGAAAATCCAGAACTATTGATATAGTTAAAATATTTTTACTCCTGTGTTATTCGAACCTATGCTTCTCTAGTTTATGTATTATCCATGCTGCTACTATCAACTATCTCATTTATATTACTGAATTGATTTGTATTATTATGTGTGTGATTAGCACTCTTATTTACTGCTTGCTTTCTCCTTCTAAAGTATTTGGGTTTCAGCCTTAACTTTGGAGAAGTCACAAATTAACCCTAATCTTAATTACTCTTAGATCTTTAAGAGTTCTGCCTATCTGTATCTAATCTCTATAGCTATTTGCCTTAAGAATCCTCTCCTCCATTATTATTGCTACTGCCATTATGGTTGCTTCGAAGTTATGAGTAATTCAATTTACCAGCACTATTTAATTATTTTTATTCCTGCTGGCTAAATTTTCTACTTCTCTTTAGATTTTAATCAGATTCCTCTAAAGATTAGTGTGATTCATCATGCTCAAGTATTGTTACTGCTCTGCCCTTGCTTTCCTGATTTGATTATTTTTTATGCAGAGATTGCTTGCTTGAATCAAAGTTTGAGTCAAAATCCATAGAACTGTGAATTTTTCTCTTGATCTTCCTGCTTGAGTTAATATCAAATGCATCTCCCTGATGAGTGCTTACTCTCGTTATTTATTAAGATTGCTTGCTATTTGTAGCAGCTCTGGGACTTATTTTCTAGCTTGGAAACTTAAGATTTGGTTTTTACCCTGGATTTAAAGTAGGTTTATAGTCAAAAGAATACCCCTACCGTTTCTTATATGATGAACTGGCAGCAGATGACTTCAGAGTATTACTTATAAATCTCTATTTATGCTAATATGCTTCATCTTTGCTTCCCCCAAAAGTAAACTATTTCAATCTAAAAAGTTAAATGAAAAGTTAAGATCTATACAGGAATTTCTAACGATCCTTTTCATTGTTATAAGAATTCAATACATCCCTAATATTGAGGCATTTCTCTCCTGCTATCACAGACTTGGTAATGAAACCCCAAAAATATTAAGATTTTTATTCACATTCTTCCTCAGTCTCCTATTTTTCTGGGATCTGTTAATCAAAAATCATTCCAGGAAAACCAAAGACTGGTGTTTTCGTGTATGGTTTTCTAAGTAATCTCGAGATCTCATCTGTTGCTCTTGCTTTAATCTATTTACTCATCAATCTTAGAATGACTTTACCTCTCTAATCTTAGAGATATTAACATTATTATTGCTTATGTACTCAGGGGCATTGTTGAAGTAAATTTTTTCCAATTTAGGTTTTTCCATTTCAACAATAATACTGTAATTTTATTTCACTGTTTATAATTAATTGAATAACTCCATTCAGAAATAATTTGCAATTTTTTAATTTGTAAGTAAATATTTATAAAGACAGGTATTTTTCTAATTTTCACGTTATGCAATCATATTTCCTTAAGGGGTTTTGGGGTTTTGGGGTTTTGGGG